TTTTGTACCATGTACCATGACGTCGTGGGATTATGCATTGGGTAGTATTTATGCTAGCGCTCAATTAAATAACCATGATCTGTAACTTGATTAATGGTATATGCAATAAATGTTAAAATATGTTCTTTAACAACTTGGTTTAAGAGGGCTGGAGCATTGGGTTTTTATGGTGCTCTAATTTCTCTCCCTAAGGAGTTATGTGTAAGTGGATTCCATCAGGACTTACAGTACAACCATGAGTGCTACATGGTTCTAACTTTAGTCAAGTATGAGAACCTTTTCTAGCTCGTAGTAGCTTACCAAAAGGCGCAAGAGGGGCTCCAATTGGTTTGATCCCGTGGCCTACCAAGCGAGTGCAATTTGGTTTCTTTGTCTTTTTTGTTAGTCACACCTTGGGGGAGGGATCTTACTAGTTGATGGGGAATCCTTAGCGGGCTACACTTGTTAGACGAACCTTTGAAAGGCTTCACAGTGAACCCTGCCGACCTTCCTTGGAAGTGGGTCAAGAGGTTGTCCACTTCGGGCGAAAAGGGTAAATCACGGCTCATGGTGAAAGTGTACAACCTCTGTAGAGTGTAAAACTGGTATATCAGCCGTGCTCACGGTCACGAGCGGCCTGGGCTCCTTACTGAATAGATGATGAACACTAATAATACTGATGATAAAGATGATTATTGTTTTTGCTATACATTAATCTTGTTTACATGATCGTGTGGTTATTTGGGGCTTATGCTAAACTTGTTGCTATTCAATTGATAAAATTGTGATTTACTAAAAGCTAATCGTAGTAAACCAGTGTCAACTTTTTGAGCCTCATGAACCCCATGTTATATTGTTGAGTACGACATGTACTTACGTTTGCTTTACTTTTTAATTCTTTGAAAAAAATCCGGATGGGTACCAGATTGCTAGAGTCAGGAGGAGTTAGACCTATGATCAACCAATCAGTTGTCCCTGTGGATTTAGAGCTTTCGCCTAAAGGACGGAGTGTCTTTCCGTTGTTTATTATCTAAGTTTATATTCTTTATATTAAGTACGTTATATATTAAGCATTGTCTATTGATATTACCTCTATTTGTAGCCATATGTGTAATTTAGCTTCCTGAGCTCACTTATGGTGTGTATCTTGTTTTGTTCTTAAAACCAGGTGCTACATCAACATAAACAACAGCCAATAATTTTTTCAACCATGACATTTTAATTTACAATGGAAAGAAATAAACCATTGAAGTCATTTCTTGAATATACTTAGACACACCAAATACATGTCGTTAAATAAAACAAACATTTTTTATTTTTTATCTTTACTTAACTTCAACCACCCGCTTGGTTAACGTGTCAGGTGTTTTACTTATTATTAGTACATGATTGTCTATATTTTTTCCTTTCTATTATGCAATTGATTGTGTATTTCCTTCCATTTTACTCACTTGATTTATTTGATTACTTGATTGAGGTGTTTCCTTATTTTATCTTGCCTTTTATTCCCTTCTTCTTTTATTATAGACACTTTGATTGAGAGGACCCTCTCTGCCTAGCGTGGGCATCTTAGGAATGTACGGAGATTAGAGTTTTTTTTTTTTTTGAGAATGAAGATTAGAAGGGTTGAGTAGCCCCTCAAAAACTTGTTCTTTTATAGTGCAGTATAAATATATATATAGTAAGGTACATATAGATAAAAACATTTTTTTGTAAATTTAATATAGCTATGATTCATGGTTTAAAGGTGACACATGTGCATATATTATTGACCATATGTCATTACTATATTTCTATACCAAATCAGAGTCTTGGGAAATTTGCTTTTCTTGAGTTTTCCACGATTATGATATTCATTATATATCATGTGATCGTCGTGACTTTGGGTTGATTTTGTTTGTTATTGGTAATTTAGAAGTAGATATCTAGTTTCCTTTGGTTAGTTTCTTTTATAGTGACAAATATGAGTAATTTAAAAGTATGGGATAGTGTTAGTTTTTTTCATAATGCCAAGGAGGGTAATTAGATATGTTAGATCTAATGACTATGTTTGCTGATGATGTTCAATTAATGTCCACTAATTTCAGGATTAATGTTTTCTATTTTCTTTAGAGTATATTTAGTATATCCATATTTTTCTCGGAAGTTTCATCTTATGTAAATGACATGGAGGTTCTATGATCTCCAATGAAAATTGGCCCGTCTTATGATAATAGATTAAACATAAGTTAATCATGGGCTAATAAGAGAAAATGAGTTTTAATCACCAATTAGCCCTATTAGCTCTTACTAGCCTAAAATTAGTTCATATTTAGCCCTCCTATTTGACATCCAAAAATAGGGGTTAACTGTTAGCCCCTAGATCGAAACAGACCCTTAGTAACAATATAAGACAAGAATATGGAATCATTTACTATCTTTCAAATCCATACAATACAATCGCTAATTAAATGAAGGAAACCGGCGCCACAAAACAACATGATAAGATGTGATATGTACACAACATCATAGCCCAACATAAGTCATCATTTCCCGCTCAACAAAAAAGTGAGAGCAGCTCCGACATCCTATAGCAGATCTCATCCACCGCTCTAATGTCACTCCTCCCAACATCGACATACACACCAAGTGCATAGGAACCGCAGTTGTCACCTAAAGAGAGTAGGGTAGCGTTGCCTAGCTAAGTCACCATGATGTAGGAGCTCTGACTTCATCGCAACATGCCCTCCCTAGACACATCTACTATGACATGAAGAAGCCCCAAGAAGGCCAAGGCTTCACAACAAATTAACCCATACAATGACACCACAAGCCAAGCTAGACAAACATACTATGGAGCCTCACACAAGTCATAGTTGCCAAGTAATCCACAAAAGCAATCAATAGCTCCGACATCCTAGGGTGGACTTCAATTTCCTCGTCAAGGACATTGCACCAATGCACACAAGAGCCATAGACACCACCATGAACGAGCTCGTTGGGTGTTGTTGTTGCTGATCTCAGCACCACCCTCACAATCATAGCAGCTCTGATTTCACCACAGCACACTCGATAAAAGGCACAACACGATGTACACCATGGACACAGAGAAGCTACAATGAGGCGAATAACTCATCAAAAAACATGGCCAAAACTTGAGCCAGTAGCCCCAAGGGCAATGCAAGTCCTCCAAAGCAATGCCTCTAGGAAGGAAATGACACAGATGGGCCACTGTCGTCATTCACGCATGTTTCCTAAACAAAGGTTTCACTAGAAGCGTCCCACAATGTGTGGCAGACACACCATGATTATGCCCTAGGTGACCAAAGGCGTCATCACTATCCATCCAACCACATACGAGGCAAGGCTTTTGCCCATAGCCATCTAGCCCCACCCATCGTAAACTAGAATCTACCATGAGCTACTCTAGCCCCACTCATCGTAAACTAGAATCTACCATGAGCTACCACTATCAGCATTGTTGTTGTTACCCATCACTATCCATCAGCGTTTTGTGATCTCATTGGTCCGTGCCATCACTAACCACGATGACCAATGCCCATGGATGAGTCGTGAGCATACCCAGGCTTAACGACCCTAGGCACCTATTGGCCAATTGAGCAGAGAACAAGCATGAAGATATGAGTCATGGCATTTGTGTGCATGGCACACCATTCACTCCGCTCATTGCAACTATTGCTGCGGCTGCAGATCCACACATGCGGAGCATTGTAGCACAAGTTGTTGCATCCGTTGTGTAGTCATAGCCGTTGTAAAGTTCAATTGACCATTCTTATTATTTTTTTGCCTACGATCTAGAAAATTTCCAAGTCTGCCACTAGCGAACATGGAGAAATCAGAGGGAAGAGAGGATGGAGGGCCTTGCCACCGCCTTCATCCTTACCACATAGGCAACTTGGGCAGTGGCAATAGGGGAGGAGAGGGATAGGGGGCAACAATGGGAAAGCTCGAGGTTTTGCCTAAGTCGCCTTGTTCATTCACTTTAGAAATATATACTACCAACTACCAACCAATTTCATCCTTTCTTTTACACGACATTTGGAACATTATGCCAAAAAGAAGAGCTTTGAGCATCTGCAAGCATATGATGTGGACTAGATTAGTGGAAAAAATAAAGACGAAAACAATCTCAAATATATTGCTTTTTTTAATGCCGCTTGAAATTACTAGAATAATACCACTCATGGTTTTTTTAAATGGTACATGATTATTTGCTAGTGGCAAAAGACTCTATCATCAGATTGAAAGTGAGGAAGTATATTCGGGGCTGCGCCGGTGTTCAGATTGACCGACAATGCGTACCAGTTTTAATCTGTGGCGCTCCGTGTGCATCACCACTCCAGATCACTTTTCTCCCGTCGGCCCAGAGCTCTCCCGTCGGTGCGCACACCCTCCGTCGGTGGCGAGATTCTTCCCCCACGTTACTGCCTAAACCGTCCAGAGAGTTCTCCCCGTCGGTCCAATCCCGTCACGGAGTGTTTTTAAGGCGTTCCACGCGACAAGCTAAGCTCTCTCGCGCCTCCTCCGTGGCCAAAGAGACGCGCAAGGCAGAGCCCAATGAAATTATTTTGCCGCCGCCGCGCCTATCCGTCCAACCAAACCTCTTCTCTAAAGAAAAATCTTCAGCCCTATCCAATCCACGCACCCGCCTCCAGCTCCTAGCGGGCCACACAGATCCCACCAATGACGGCCCACCACGGCGCCGCCCCACCACCGGTGCCCCCCCCCCCCCCGCCGTACCATGCCGCCTCCGCTGCGCGCCACCACCCGCCGCCGCCGCACAAGAGCGCCCGCCCGGGCTCGCACCCGTAAACCAACCAGCCCAACCTGCCGCCACTGAGCCACCACGTTGCAGCGCTGACCAAGGGCAGCAGCCCCCCTCCGCCGTCAGACGTGCTCATCTTTTCTTGATTTATTCCCATCTTCAGATCCCCAATCAATTTTGCATCTTGTATTTTTTTTTGCCCTTGTTAATTGATGCGCATCGACTTGATTTTGCTCGCCGTGGCATTTGAAATGCGATGGGGGCTTCTTTGTTGTTGCAAGACCGGACGAGCCGGAGCAACTCTAGCTTCTGGACCACCAACTCGCAGCCCGTCTGGAAGAACAATTGGGCTCTCACTGACGGACAGCAAGGTCTGACCATGGCCACCATGTAGCATATATGTTCTTGATCTGTGCTAGACATGCTGTGGTGAATTGACTGCTCTCTGGTTGCTAGCTGTTGCGATTCCTGCAACAATATTACACTATCGAAGCTTTGGTTGTAGTAGTGACCTGAGGATTTTGCTTCCAATCCTTTCAAAGCTTGCATCTAGATGTGCTTTTGATTGATTTCCTGTGACTATTTTTGCTGCTATATATATGCAGATTAATTCACTTGTCATATAATTTTGTCAATGAATTTTGCTCCTCTATTTTGCACAAATTTAGACATAAAACAAATTTCCAGTGACTAATTTTGCTATAGCTGCTCTATTTTTCATTGTGATTCACTGGTTATGGTGTGCTAGCTGTATAGGAAATTTATTTGTTATTATGTCTTTTAGTGGTCAACTACTAGCTGTATAGGAATTTTTATTTTGTTTGACTGAAGCAATTTGTTATGTCTAAATTTGTAATAGGTTTCTCACTGTGATCTGCTGCTATGTATCTTTTGTACTGTTATTTTTAACATATGTCTGCAGTCTTTTACTATCTGTTGCTTTCTACTGTTATATTTGACATATATATGCAGTCTTTTTTCTACTTCTTGTATTGTTATATTTAACATATGTATGCAGTATTTTTTCTCGTGCTTGTATTGTTGCATTTAAAAGTCTGCTACTAACATTATGTTGCAACATGTTATGTGGCAGGAGATGCAGTCCTTCAATCATTGGACGGATAGGCGACCAAGATCATGTGATGTCTCAAATGACATCGAGAGTCAGCCCCCTGCAGAAAAGAGGATAAGGGTCCGCAATAAACCGCACAAGCCTCGCAATGGTCAGATAGCCATAATACCTAAGGGTGACAAGTATGCGCTTGCTGATTTTGTTCTCTTAGTGTGGACAATGCTAGTGTTGGAACTTGCTAATCCTTTTATGGTATACTTCATTTTTCTTATTGAGCAGCCAATTCCGCTATGCTAATTACTCAATTGATGATAAAATGAAGAAAGGCCCCATCCTTGGAGTGCTTTTAAAGCAAGAATATCCTCTGATCATTGAAGGGACAACTAGAGATGGTCATCCATTCAAATATCATGCAAGCAAGTGGGAACACTACTCGCACATTTTAAGGGATGATGCACAAACCCCAGCTGATCGTGTGAAAGAAGAGTCCTGGGTGAGCATATAAACTCTGTCATTGTATTTCTTTCATGATGCTAGTAGAATAGCAGTACACGTGCTGATTGTGTGAAAAAAGTATAGCAGCTGTCAAGTTTTAGCTATAAATAGCATAGATATACACAGAGATCAATTTTCAACACAATTGCAGAAGCCAAACTGATTTCCAGCATGTTAGATAGGTAGTCAAAACAGAAACAAAATCCTGTAGGAACTAACAAACTTCAGAGATAGAAGACTTTTTACAATGTACGGTATATTCATGTCTTGCTTTTTAACTTATGCCAAAATTCCCTGTGTATTGGAAGCTCCTGATTTGAGCCCTGCCTGAAAGAATGTAGTGACTGGTTTATAATAGAAATAGCATTAGGCTCCTGATTTGAGTGCACAGCAGTCGTCTTCCAGTCAAATATTAAACCTTAAACTGTAATATTGAAGTGAAAAATGGCCTTTAAAATTACTAGTGCACCGCAGATCTTCTAGTCATATGTATGGATATGGAATAGAAAAAGTTAAATTTGCTTCAAAATTTAATTGTCTAGCCTTAGCTATTCCAGTTTTTCTCATCTTTTAGCTGCTGCACTTCCAGAGCATATATTCAGTTCCTGAACAACTTCAAGATGAAGCAGACCGTGTATTTGAGAAATATGCACGCATCTAATGCAAGAATATGATGTACCTAGCTCGTCCCGATGCTGTGAAGCACTACTATCGTGAAATCATAAAGAGCCCAAAGTCTGATGCATTTGCCTGTGCCAATTTACTTAGTTTTGAAGAGTACATGCAATGCAAGCCTGGATGGTTCACTGAAGAAGCCTGGGAGTCCCTTTGTAAGTATTGGTGCTCTGATGAATACTTGAAGAAAAGGAGGCTGGGCCAGAATCTCGGAAAAAAAATCCTGATGGCGCTCAAAACAGGGGTGGTTCTAGGCCTCTAGTTGAGGCTCAACAATATCTGGTAATCTCCTTTGTCACCATCCATTTCTGAGTAACTTCGAATTTTTCATATGCATTAACATTGGTCACTTCTTTTATGCCTTGAAGGAAGCTAAGCATGGACCTGGGAAGGGCACTATAATAAATGCCTTTTCCTGCATGAAAGCTGGCCTTAAGAATTGTGATGCCAGTGGCAATGCTGGCCCAATTCCAGAACGGGCAAAGAAACTTGTTGTATGTAGGAGAACTTTCTATCTAGTTTCATGCTTTTCCATGTAGTTTGTGACTAATAGTTTCTGTTATTTTTAGGATGACTATAATGAAGCATTGCAAGAAAAGTATCCAGAGAACTGTCAAGAGCAACCTTTTGATGGTCAAATTGCATATAATATTGGTGGTGGCTTGTTGCATGGTCGTCTTGCAATAGGAGATGGTGCTGTCAACAAGGCTACAATAATTGATGCTGCTAAGGCAGGTGGGACAAGGCCAGCAACCTCAAGGGGTTTTCAAAATCTGTTGGCAAGATATGAGGAGTCACTTGCCAACGTTGGTCGCTTAACTCAACAAAATATTGCCTTGGTTCAACAAAATGCTGCATTGACTTGAGATGTGAAGTGCAATGGTCGTTTACTTGAGGTACATTTTGGTGCACTATCTATCTACAGTTCAAGGTTCATAAACATTGATTATGTACTTCACTTGCAGCTCATTATTAGCCAAGTACAAATAGAGATACCACTGGACTTACTTCAGGAAGAAGAAAATGACATGGTAAGATTAACATTTTAAACCATTTTCACTCTATCCACCTAAACTACTCCGTACTATGAATATATGTTTATTGTGACCAGTATGTTCCTTTCACATAGTGATCTTTCCTGGCCGTCACGGAAAAAGTTGGCTGGGGTGGTGCATCACATTGCCTTGCAAGATGCCGGCACAATATATAACGGAGTAGAATATAGAAGCGCGTGTGACCGATGTTAAACAATATACTAACATTACTCTTGATTAACTGCTGCATTATTATTGACTACGCGTATTGACCAGTCTGCTGTGTGGAAACTCTGGATGCCTACACCGGCGCAGCGCTCTCGATGGCGGATCCCCGCCGTACGGCCGGCCGTAACTATTCGCTTGCTCTGATGCTCAACGTGTGGACTACCGGAGGCAAAACGTCAGCGTGATTTGGTTGAAAATGTGGCGGAGACTGTAAACAAGAACTGCTGAGGTGGACTCAGAGCAAGCCCAATAAAATCTATGGGCCTGTTCGCTTGGAGCAATTCTGGAGGAATTTGAATAGTTTGGAGAAATGCTGTAGGAATATGTGAGAGAAAAACACTGTTCCGGATGAAAAAAGAAGTAGTTCAAGCTAGATTTAAGGGCACGTTTAGAACCTAACTCATATACTCACAACTAATCTCTTTTCATACTTTAAATTTTTTTTTATTTAATAGACAAGGATGAGAGGGGAAGAGAACCAAATGAGATTATTTAGAAAAAGAACCGAATGAGACGATCCGGTGGGGCCCAGTATTATATAGGAAAACATGCGTGTTCGACGAAGGCAGTGACAAGTTTGGCTCTCTCTCTTCTGTACCTCGTTCATGCGGCCGAATGGCAGTTGATTTGATTGTTATTGTAACTGCCCTTGGTCATTTTCAATAGAGTCCAACCCAACTAGAATGGGCCCGGAGTAGCATGGTTAACGAACCTGATCGCGCCGTGCCAGTATCAAGGGCTCGCAGCCTGTTTGGTTGGCTAGTTCGTATCGTTGCTGGTTCATAAAGAAGTACTGCTAGCTGGTTTGTGTGAGAGAAAAATATTGTTCCGGCTGAAAATTTACGATCATTTACGATAAGTCACAGCCAAACAAACAGGCTGTCAATCGAGGGCCGACGTTCGACAGAGGATCAACCATGTTGAGCTGGTCCGATCAGCCTAGAGTAAGCACATTTAGGGCTAATAGTTAGCTAGAATTGTAACAAAAGATCGTCTTGCCCTTTGTGCCTTCGCCCCTTATGCTTCCCCTCTTTGTACTTCCTCTCTCCCACCTCAATAATTTTGCAACTCTCACATCTTTTTTCAAAAAATGTTGAAGCACTGCGTGGAGGAGGCATATGTGGTGCCAGCGGCACAGGTGTAGGAGACGTTGTACATGAAGGAGGCCAGACGTTGGCTATGGTGACGCAAAGGCAGGACGCTGAAACGCTTTGTGGAGGATCTGTCATGCATGGTCTGTTCTCCCTTCTCCGGTGCCTCTGGTATAGTTCTGGTCTATGCATCGCCCGCAACGTGTGCTCAGCATGGACACTGCCGCAAGGTCATGCTCGCTTGCCGCTGACGTTGGCAGCAAGAACCGCAGTTTTTATTTTTTATTTTTTTTCAATTGTTTATGGAGACGGTGTCTTAAGGCACCCTCTCTGTAAACTTATTTGCAAAGATAGCTGAATAATCGGGGGGAAAAAAATAGGGAGATGCTATAACTCAGGTGCCTGAAAACTGAGTTTCGTTCAGGCGACGAGCTCATCCGTGGAATCTCCATCCAGCGGCTTGAGGAGAGAGGGAGCGCGTCGCCTGAAGCAGTTTTCGGTCACCTGGATTAAAGGAAGCGTGAAAAAAATATTATGTGACGACGCCGTCACAGAAAGCATCACGTGCGACACCACCCGTCTGCGTGAGACACGTCCCGCTCGCTCGATCTGCTTGTCTAGAAAAACTATCCGCTGGCTTGAAACGCGGATTCGGCTCATCGGCTCGTCTACGCGGTACTGCTGGTCACCTTGCCTGATGCAGCCTGTAGACATGCGTTGAGCAGCCGGGTGCTGTCGCACGTGAGGCGTTGTACGACGGCGCCAATACAATTTTGTTTCATGAATAATCAGACGCCTATGGAAATTTTTCATTTAAACAGACCTCCTACTAGAGGCAGAAAACTTTGTGACCTCTAAAAATATGTTTTTTAGCTGACTCGGAAGATGTACTTTTTGTAGTAGCGGCGTGTGACAATATAGTTTAAGAGAAGCCAATAATGAAAATATACTCTTGTCTTGTATATATTGATGTGGATCAAGGGAGTAAATGAAGTTTTATGCCTAACCACTCCCACTTCACAGTGCTCCATGAACACACGGTCTTTAGAATTTACAATAACGGTCAGGCGATAGTACTAATGTGTGTATCAAGTATAACCTTTTCTGTACTTTTTTGGAGAATGGTACATTACAATGTACTTGTTGCGGGACCGAGTTAATAACTTAGTAACTTTCAAGTATGACCTTTCAAGTATAATTTACTAACTTGCTGGGGACTGAGTTATGTTGCCGATCATGCTAAGTGCGATACAAGGCTGGTCGATAGGCACCTGCAAACAAAGAGCAGATCAACAAATCAGCTTTTGGGGCATCTATCCCAGTATAAGAGGATCACATGGGAAGCAGATCCCAGGCAACATGCAATGTTTATGCTTTATACTACTTACGTAATGGCCAGCTCCAAGAATCCAGTAGAAGTGCAGGTTGTTGTAGGACCTAACAAAAGCCTTGGTGCCTTCGCTGGAGCCACAATAGAGAGTCTGCCTCGGTAGGCTCAGGAACGTCTTCAACCCATCCCATCTGAGATTATTGTATCCCCAAATGATGCATTGAGCCATTAAGATATTTCCCCTGTTACTTATATGGGAACAAAAAGACATGATGGCTTACTTGAGCTTCTGAACCCATGCTTCTGCGCCGATGGTCGAACAGATTATGTCGAGCTTCAGTTTTGTGGGGGAAAAAAACATAGGTATCAAGTGCAGCACTGAAAATTGCAGCCTAAATCCTGTGCATTTGACTACGAATAATATACGAATGGATAATCCAGATGACTGAGGTAGGTTGTCCATATGTACCTTTATTTGATTAAACCTGCCAATCAAGGTTCATAGTTTCTGGAAAAGGATACCATCTTTTCTAAAGAAGATCCCAGGTACTAACTGATAGTCTGATTGATTGTACGTTGGGTGCTTGCCCTAGGCTAACGGCGAAAGGCAGGCAATCCACTTATTCCTTTAGACATGGAATAGCAGTGGGTAACAGATCTTTTATTCAATTTGTACAAAAGCCAGACACCTCTTATGAACTTGCATGTACCATCTAGTTGAATCCAAAATCTTGCATGCACCATGAAAGATGGGCAGTTCACTTATAATGCATCACTCTCTTCACATGTATATCTAACTTAATTTGTGTACACAATTCAAAAGCTACTTGTATATATCAAAGGATGAGATAGTAACAATTTGACCCACATAAATACATTCATTGATCTTAGCATGTTTAAATCCTTAACTTTCATGATGTAATGTTTCTGCCAAACAGAGTGGAGAACTCAAGAATTCGGAAGTTGAAAAGGTAGAGTAGTACTGACCTGGCCGTTGTACACCGTCACATTGACACCGTAAGACAGCAGCTCATCAATCTGCAATAGAACACTCGCAGTCAGTCGAACTGAGCTGCTAGTTCCAGAACATTATTCACCAAGACACGCCTAGATTCTAGCTGGAGGCCTCAAGTCGTCTAGCGTCTAGTAGACGGGTATACATGTATGATTAGACCATCTAAGTGATAATTAGTCAAGATTAGTTGCTAATTGTGGGGTAATCGTCTAACTAGCGTCTAGATGATGATAATCCATACTGAGGCATACTAGCTCGCTCACCTCCTCGATTCTTGGCCTCATTATATCATTGACCAGCGCGTAATAAACAGCATCATTAAGCCCCTGCCACCTGCAATAATTGGAATTCTAGCATCAGATCATTGCATTAATTAGCCAGGAACACACGATGGCCCCGTTCGGCTGGTATGAAAAATACAGTGTTCATCCTGAAAAAAACTGTTCCAACTGAAATGTTATGAGAGAAAAACACTGTTCCGATTGAAAAAAAGAAGCCGAACAAGCTGGCTTCTTGTCAGCCGAAAGAGGCCGATGCCGTAAATAAAAGTGACCGTTGTGCTGTGGTGCAAAATTAAAGGACCGGGGCCGCTCACTTGAGGTTTTTGGGGATGATTTTGAGCTTCTCCTTGATGACTCCATTCATGATGCCCGGCAAGTCCTGCTTGCCGCTGAGGTACCTCGAGTACTTCATCATAGCCTTCACGGTGCTTGGCGACGAGGCCGCTGGTGTTTCCGCTGTCGCCTGGTCCAGGCTGCCATCAAGAAAATTGTATACGTCCTGAAAAGATACAGCGAGCTAGCGTGAGTGAGAGAGATGTTAAGCATGATATATATATACACACACATTGGAGTGACTACTTCCTGAAAGTAGGAAATATATATATATATGAGCCCCACGGAGTCAACGGTCAACACTTACCACGTCGCCGCTCCTGGTGCCGATGAAATCCAGGAGATCACTCCACGAACCCTCCGCGTCGCTGAAATTGCCCACCGCGATCTGCTCCTTCACCGTCTCGGCCATCCTGAGATTACATTTAGAGTTGGCGTGCGCTTATGATTGTGACTGGAAAAAGAACCCTTGGGTACTTCGCTTGCCGCCGTCGTGCTTACTTGTTTGCTTCGTCGGCGGCGTTATCGTCAAGCCTCGACACGCTCAGGAGCAGCGGCGTGTACGAGAGCTGCACAATCCATATCGAGCTCGCTTTAATTAGCTTGTCCATTCATTTGTGATTTATTCACAGAAACCAGAGAGATGGTCTCTCGAATATCTCACCGTGAAATCCTCCGGCGAGATCCAGCTATCGCCGAGCGCCACACCTGCGCACGGCAAAAGAACCGATAATCTCTGAGTACGTAAGTTGCACAACTGATGCATTGGTTCAGTGCTTCGTGTTGTACTACGTACCTCCGAGCGTGATATTGAGCTCCCCGGCGCGGGCGGCCCTGGCGACGGACGCGCCCAGCGTGGCGGCGTACTTGCCGCCGTAGGACTCGGCGACCAGGAACAGCGGGCTGCTCTGCAGCGTGGGCACCTCCTTCACCAGCGCCTTGAGCAGCGTGGTGGCGTCCTCCGCCTGCTGCCAGTCGGTGGTCACCAGCAGGCTGTCGTCCTCCACGTAGCTGTACCCGACGCCCACCGGGTTGTCCTGTGCCGTCGTCGAGACAGACATGCATAGAAGGCTTAGCACGCAGTACGCACGATAAGATAACACAGCAAAAGAAGAGGCTATCTCTGATCTGTGTCTGACCACGAAGATGAGGTCGGCCTTCTGGAGCCATGTCGAGTTTCGCGGCTGCAGGTTGACGTCCAGCGGGCCGATCTCCTGGAAGTTGCCGAACCCGACGCCGGACGCGCCCTGCAAAGCCACCGGACGTCCAGACCACGGTTCGGTGACAAGGTTCAGGCCATGCTTTTGTACCCACAGAGGAGCAAATTCTAGAAATAAACGGAGGAGTGGCAGTGCGTACGGGGCCACCCTGCAGCCAGAGGACGGTCGGCCATGGCTTCGTCGGCGTCGACGTCCTCTGCGGGCTCTTGTAGTACCACCAGAACAGGTGAGCCTCTGCATGCAACGACGGCGACGCAGTGTGTAATGAGTAATGCTAAGAAAGACGGCGAGCAAATGCACGATGATGTTGTTATTGGCCACTAGGGAGGAGCGTCACTAACTTGGCCGGACTTCGACGTACCCCCACAGCTCTGAGCCGTCGGGGGTGCCGGTGGTGGTCGTCGCGGCTGAACCGGAGTGGAGCGAGCCCAGGCTGATGCCAACGACGAGGAGGGAAAGCAGAGCAAGCAGGGAGAAGGACCTGTCCATGTTGGCGGCAAACGCGATATTCTGATGCTGTGGTCTGTGACTTGTGAGCTGAGTCTGAGTGCGAGTGGCGCTGTGGCCGACCGTAGTTTAAATAATAAATCAAACGGAGATGCCCAGCCCAGGCATAAATGCCCCGGTCTTGTGGTTGGCGACTTGGCGTACTACGTTTTCATCGATGCGTTTGTTACTAGCCTGCAGCCAAACGGAAGGCCTAGCTAAGTGACATTGTAAATATAAATAAATGCTGTACTACATTACAAACTGGTTTTCGTCTCCCAGTTCCGTTTTGGCGTTCGTTCGCTCGGAACGTCCGACGGTGGGGGTGGGCCATCCGGTCACAGAATAGTCATCCGCGGGCCATCCATTTGGAAGGCCAAGCTATGTGACACATCGCTCGTTAGATAATACCTGGCATTGTAAATATTGTACTACATGACAAACTGCTTTTTGTCTAGTGCCGGGAGATACAAGTTGCTGTAAATTACTCTCTAATTTTTGGGCATACGCCAGCGGCATCCTGTCTCTAGCGGCAGGAGCGGTAGCAATTTTCCTATGCACGTACGGTTCCCACGTGAATGCGCTCCGCTCACGAAGAAATGGAACGGCGCCTGTCCCGCCTGCAACTGTTGCGTCTGCACGTCCACCCCCGCATGCCGCATGCAACTGCTGCGCCTGCACGCCGTGCACATACTCATGCAGCTGTGCGCCACGTGCCTGTTGATGTGCATGCAGGTGGGGACCGCGCCACATGACACGCCCCCGCGCTTGCGCGCAAGACGTGGGGACCGATTCGCATGCGCCCGCTTCTCATACCGCTAATGTTGCAACATAAAAGCACTTCTGCAACATACATCTGAAACAAGGTGAAATATTTACAAACATACGTTTGCAACATATGTGTATAGCAACTACATCCACATAAACACACTTGCAACGTACGCATGAAGTGAATGAAATATTTTGAATAGACGCTTACAACATATGTCTGAAACATATGCAACATTGCAATATTGCAACATATGAAACATCTAGATGAAGCACTTGCAATGTAGGTCTAAAACAGGTGAAACGTTTAGAACATACAGTTGTAACATACATGTATAGCCACCGCAACATATGCAATATCTAGATAAAACACTTGCAACATACATTTGGAATACCATTTGAAACATACGTTTGCAACCTACGTATATAGCCATTGCAACATAAGAAACACCAGATCTATTTGCAATATCCAGATGAAACATTTGCAACATCTGAAACGCATGAAACATACGGTTGCAACATGTGCTCATCTACTTGCTACCGCCCAATGGAGGCTAGTTGACCCGGCGTAGGGGAGCGCAACGTGAGGCGCGGGCGGCGCATGGCGTGAGGCACGAGCAGGGGCACAAGGCGTGAGGCGCGGACAGCATGAGGCACGGGTGGGGTGCGCGGCACGAGGCGCGAGGCGCGGGGCACACGTGGTGTGAGGCAGGTCCGTCCGATCGCGTGGAGGCGCGAGAAAGGGGCGCACTGGCGTGAGGCGGGGTCCAGCAGACTGTGTCGAGGCGAGAGAGGCGCAGGCGCACTGGCGTGAGGCAGGAGGCATAGGGGCACACAAGGTGCAAGGCGGAGGCGCAGGACGAGGGGCGGGTGGTGAGGCGGGTCCGTCCCGTCTAGACGGACGGACGTCTTGATAGGAGTATTACCGCTATTTTTGTTGTTGTTGTTGTAGTAAGCTAAGGTGAAAAGCATTCAACACTTTTTTTTCCATTGTTCATTATGCAAAATTATTTTGGTGTATATGTATGCCTCCTCCACCTATTAAGGCAGATCATTTATTTAATAATTGGTCAAATTTAGGGGGCTAGGAAACATAACTTACTAGTATTGGTTGGCGCTGCAAGCTTGTGTTGGGCAATTATTTGGCTGTCCTGGGATAATGATTGTTTTTCATAAATACAAAACACACAATTTTTTAGGTTTTATTCAGAGCGACGCGCTAGCTCTGAGTTTAGGCACTGTTACAACTCATAGATATCAGTAAAGATCATCTAATCCAGGCATGCCGGTCTCTGGAGTCGAATGACTTCAGTTCTTTGTGTCTCATATAGATGATATTTTAATTTTTGTATCAAGCTTTAAGACTTGACTCTTTTTTGGTATATGGGGTAACCCTACCCTCCACTAACACCTTTTCTCAAATGACTGTCACATATGGAAAATACATCTTCGTGGGCAGAGGCTTTACATAGAACAACATAACAGAGGGTTGTGAAGTGAGCCCACGACTAGGAAGCAACACAACATCAATGCTACAAATCATAAACCACCGGTGGCACTACGACGCGCCACCAAACATATCCATCTACGCACAATGATTCATCATATGACTGGTCTCCATGCAAGGTTGATCATCTACAATCTAGGACCGCCGGCATGTGTCCATGGTATTCGGTGGCACGTCCAAGCCAGTCGGCCTTTGGGGTGTTCTCGTAGCTTGGAAGCAAGAAGTTTCTTCTTAATGCATTGTCGTGTGAGGGATGGTTGTATTTTCCGTGTTTCTCGAGTTTTTTTTTCCAGAGCCTAGGACATCTTGTACTTACTTGCCGGGGATAAACCCTAGTTGACACCTCCATGTATCTTGTTTGCAGTATTTTGAGTTCATATTTCTTATGAATTTATTACCCTCAAACTTGTGCTATGTGTGGAATGTATGTTTAGTCTTAAGATCTAATTTCTAGGGATAGACATAAAGGTGGGATCCTTTGTCGTGGTGACGAGATCATTAATAGAAAGTCATGAAATTATCACAGTGCATTGCGCTTCCTTAATGAGAAGACGATGTAGCTATTGTCTATGGAGAAATACTTGATGAGAGGTTGTGACATGCTCTATTGCAGTGTACGTGAATGTCGGGAGCTATCAGAAGGGAGGTATTTTAAGATATGCAAGATGTGCAGAGGTTCATGCACGAATGAAGAACATATTTTATGCACAAATCAATCTACCTCTTGTTCAATTCCTACTTTGAAGGTAGATCATGCATTCCTTGTGATTTAGCCACTTGCAATGAAACTTGCCTTGAGAAAGTTATTGTAGAATCATGTGATGACTTCATTGCGGTGGAAAATGTTGAACTCAAGCAAGAGGTCCAGAGGTTCATGGAAGAGGTGGCCGATTTAAAGGGCAAGCACACAATTCAAATAGATTTTACTACATATGTTGGACCACTTATTACACATACGCCTTTTAGCTCTCTTCCAAATTGAAACATAAATTATTGATACAATGCAAATCATAAAAGGACCTTTTCTCTCTCTCTTTCGTCTAGAGAAACAATTATGCCGTCTTTTCCTAACACCCTATTGTCCTTCAAGTATAATCTTATCTGAAAATGTGCTTCTTTGAGAATGGTACATTATGTTGTCCTTGTGCAAGCCGCCTAAACTCATACCACAAAAAAATTCATAACTTGTTGTGGTTGGCTACTGAGTTATGTTGCCGATCATGCTAAGTGCAATACAAGGCTGGTCAACAGGCACCTACAAACAGTGAACAGATGAATGAAAATCTTCTTATAGGCATCCAGGTTTAAGAAGCTCACATGCTATGGACTTACAAAGTGCCCAGCTCCAAGAATCCAGTAGAAGTGCAAGTTCTTGTAGGACCTAACAAAAGCCTTGGTTTCTTTGCGGGGGCCACAGTACAGAGATTGCCTCGGTAGACTCAGAAAGGTCTTCAACCCATCCCATCTGAGATTATTGTATCTCCAAATGAGAATTCGACCATTCAAATAGAAATTTCTGAACCCTTTTTGTAACATATATACTCATACGGGAAAAGACGATAACTTACTTGAGCTTCTGAACCCATGTTTCTGCGCCGATGGTTGAGCAAATTATGTCAAGCTTTAGATTAAGGAAAACACATAGATATCAATAGCAGCACTAAAAATTGCAGCCTAAATCATATGCATTTTGATTGAATAATATAAGAATGGATAACCCAGATGCCTTGCCGAGGCAGGTTATCCATATGTACCATATTTGATTAAACTTGACAATCAAGGTTCACATTTTCTAGAAAGGATACCTACTTTTGTAATGAAGATCTCAGGCACTAACAGATATTCCGCATGGTTGTACCAACGTGATTGCCCTAAAAGCTACCGGGAAAAGGCAAGCAATCCAACTATCCCCATATATAGAGATAGAATATGGGAGAGAGCAACATTTCTTTCATTTAATTTGCACCAACCAGGCAACCAGAGTCCTGATATCTCTAAGTTACAAAGATATCGATCAATTCAATCCAAAATCATAAGCTAACAGTGAAAGATAGGAGTAATTCACTTATATTTCATCACTGTACTTGTACATGTAACTTTATTCGTGGACACAAGTCCAAAAAATGACTTCATTTTGTCCCACTTAAATAAATTTATTGATTTGAACATGGTAAGTCCTTTGCTTTCATGATGTAAAGTTTCTGCCATCAGAGTGGAGAACTCAAGAATCTAGTAGTTGAAATGGCAGAATAGTACTGACCTGGCCATTGTACACCGTCACATTGACACCATAAGACAATAGCTCATCAACCTGTAAATGTAAAAGAAAGAACTCGAAGTCAAGTGACTGACCTGCTCGTTCCTGAAACCTTTCGAAATTAGAAATATGTTCATCCACGTTGAGCCGTACTAGCTAGCTCGCTCACCTCATCGATTCTTGGTTTCATCATATCATTGTCCAAAGCGTTATAAACAGCATGATTAAGCTCATGCCACCTGCATTTGCAAATCCAGAATGATAACACTGATAGGGAAACATAGTGCAGGAAAGTGGTTCTCTCGGTGCAAAAACGATGCTCACTTGAGGTCCTTGGGGATGATCTTGAGTTTCTCCTTGATGACTCCATTCATGATGCCACCGATGGTGTTGGAGCCATTCGAGTCCCGGCTGCCGAGGTATGTCGAGTACCTCAACGCCTGGACGTTGTTGGGCGACGACCCAGCCGGT